CATATATATATATATATATATATATGTATATTTTTATATGTATGTATGTATGTGTTTATAAGTATATATATTTATGGAAATATATAAAGATATATATATAAATATCTATCTATGTATATATATATATATATCGTTTGTTTGTTTGTTTGTTTGTTTGTATGTATGTGAATATTGTATATTTATAATATGTGTGTGTTTGTGTATGTGTGTGTGTGTAAAGATCACACCCACTATCTCTCTAGTTGAAGATATAAGAAATTTCTCGCTAGATAGTAGACGAAGATACATATATATGTGTATCGATATACTTAGATATATGTTGATATATATATTGATCTATATTTCTATATATATTTCTATATATGTGTGTATGAGATCAATGTCTTACTACTACCTAGCGATAAATTTTGTCAACTAGTGATATAGTCGGTTTGATCTTTAGTGGTATGGTGTTCTTGATGTATTTTTACTTATTAATCAAATGTCCCGTGCGCGGGCCCGATATGACTGGCTTCTAACCGATGATTGTGTTCTGCTTAACTATTGCACTGTCACACACTAACTTAAGACAGTATGAACAAGTATGCATTGTACTTTTATTCGATAAATGGTCTGATTGTATGATACGTTGTGTTGTTGTGTAAAGGCTTCCATAAATCGCGGTGGTGGTCTAGTTCGTACTAATTTTGCAATCCATCCATTGACTGCCATTCGAGTTCTTGTATTTTCGCATGATTCCTTCAGACTGTGCATCACTGCAATCACCGTTAGTGTTGTATTCAACCCCGAACACGGCCTTATCCTGCTTCACAAATGCTTCATAATTGCTGCAGTATGCGTTCTTTGAGAACTTTGCACAAGACTCGTTGATCGCGTAGTCCATAACGTCAATCAGATCAGGGATCAAATCAACGGTGTTCTTCTGTGCAATCTCTAGACCCAATTCGTGGGCGGTATTTGCCATCCAACGCATGTAATCTATTTGATATGGCTTTAAACTGTCTTTGGTTTCGCCTGGTACGGCGTCACTACCATATTCGTATGCGTCGGTATTGTCAGGTTCTATTCCGTGACAACCCTTCTCAACTGCCTCCTCCATTCTGGCCTTGATTAAGTGCTTGAAATCCTCCCACTGTGTGATATCCATCCAGTACTCCCCGGGGTATCGGCTATCTTTTGAAGCATACTCCATCATATCGAGATAGTCTGGTCTCCAATCCTCGGCTGTGCCGGCACTGAAATAGCACACCACATACTGTCCTCCGTCTACAAGAGACTTGACATAGTCCTTTGACTTCGTCTGTAGATCGATGTCAATCATGTAGCCATTGCTGGTGTCTTCATATCCCCATGCCTCGAGTGTCCAGGTGGTACCCTGTGTTAGCTTCTTCGTACTTCGTCGAGTTGCAGTTGCATCGACTGAGTATGCAGCTAGGGAAGCCACTACCGCTATCGTTTGAATCATAGAAGTGTACATTTTGGAGTGAGGCGATTTTATTTATTTTTTATTCTATTTCAACAATTTCAGATGCTGTATTTATAGTGTTCGCAGGAGGCATTTAAAATTTCATTCATAATGTTTCATTTGTGATTGTTTCTGTAGTCTCTTGATATTTTTAGTTGGCCGTGGATATAATATTTGAAGAAGAAAAAAAGCAAAAAAAGCGTATGGGTCATCAGGGCCTCAGATCGATGATCGATGATCGATTTTTTTAAGGGTTTAACTTGTAGACTCGGGGATTTCAGAAGTTCGTACTTGATTAGAGAGAAGAAAACGTGAACGATCCTCGAACTTCGGTAATTTCAAAATTTGAGCTCAGTCTGTGCTAGCTATCCAAATAAAATAAAATTGGTCGAACGATTTACGGAGAAATCAGTCATCAGACACCAATTTTGTTTTTGTTTTTATATATCGAAAACATACGGACCTGCGAAAAGTTTACCGAGGCTCGACTCTCGAGTGACGAGTCCCAAGTCCCAGCTCCTACTGATCCGGTGATCCCAGAAGGGGCTGACGGGTTACTACTACTACGAGAGAGAGTAGAGTAGGCTCCCAGGAGACCGAGGCTTTCAGGCTTCAGCCCTCGCCCCCCGGTCCAGGGCTTTTAACTTTTTTAAAGCCTTTTACTTTATTTATTAAAAAAGCCTTTTGTTTATTCTTTTTGCTGAGCACTGAGCAGGCCGCCTTCAAAAGCTCACAGAAGTGAGTAAAACTGAGAACCCAGTAGGGGGGGCAAGGCAGGCCAGGATTCCCAGGAATCGGGAATACAGGACTCCTGATAATTACTGGAGATTTATTATATATATTTTATAATTTTAGTCTATGACTCTATATCTAACAGACTATTAGAGAGGGCACTCAGAACAGACTGGCGAAGTGCACCTTTATTTAGAGTAACAAAAGATTTAACGAAAGCAAGGACTAATAAAGTATGATTCAATATTTTTAAAATGTTATGTAGCTCTTCTCTCTAGTTGCTTCTCGCCCAGAGTAGAAAGAGAGTAGTATTACTATGTACTACTAGTAATAATACTCTAGAAAGAGTAGAGTGCTGTTCTGTGTAGTTAACCTCAAACCGTTTTTCGTTAAAACTTCTATAAATAGTATAAATATACGTTTACGTTCAGCTTTTATACCACATACGGCCCTTTGTATTCTCATAGGTGCACCTTGCGGGTCTAAACATTTAAGTGTGTACAGATTTTACCATACGAACCAGTTCTATAAAAAGAACTTAGATAGGCTCATCTCATCACCTTATAACCGTTATAACGTTTAAAAATGATATGTGCGTTTACGTTAAATTGTTTTAAACAAAAGAATTTTTTTTTAACATACAAGATAAGAAGAGTTGAAGGCTTGGAGAGAGACTGATGGAGCAAGTGAGAAGGCTTTGAAAAATTAAAATACATACATAGTGACAGGCTACACTCTGTGACAGTCTGAGTCGGATGTTTGTTATTTTTTAGCCTTTGACTATTTTTAACTTGACATATATGTATTTGACCCGTTTATACTTCTTTGTGCTTTTTTTAAAACCCAAGATGTACATATCGGTTATTTGTTTTTATTATTATTATATTTTTTTACAAATGTTTCTTTACAGAAATTCCTCTTTGATTTTAACATCTGTGGCCATGGTATCGCACTTAGAAGTTTTTGTCATCTGCTAAGATTAGGTGTAGTTTGAGTGCGCCTTTCGATATCTTTCATTAATGCAAAGCGGTCGGATATACATGAAATTTCAGAACCAGGATCAATCAATGCAAGGACTCTATTTCCATTGCAATATACAGGTATTCTTACACGCACGTCTAAAGAGTCGTTGTATTTCCTTTGTAACGATTGTACCTGGTAGTACTTTCACACCAACTTAATGTCGGGCTTTTTGTCACAAGACTTGGTGTGATAACCATTGGTCTTCTCACACTTGTCACACTTAGTAAGAAAGTGTGTACAGGTGGGTGCATGTTTGCTATTCCAATAATCATTAGGGGTCAATTGGTACATGTCATGAGCACATTTCTTAATCTCCTTAAATGAAGGTTCCTTGTCCTTCGCCTCTGCGCGTGCCCGTTTATTGGGTCGCGTTGATTGAGTAGCGTCACGAGCACGTGCCTGGTTAGGACGCGTCTGATGAGGTTTATCATCTGACGTCTGGCGTGAGAGGTATCCTTGATCAACGTGCTCGCGCGGTTTCGTATTTACCGCCTTTCCCTTCGAGGTTACTCGGTGTGCGGGGGAAAGAGTGGATACAGTATCATAAAACTGTTCCCACGTAAGTCGGGATATATGAAACTTTGTTCCATGTCCCTTGTCTCGAGCCTCAGTAGCGTATTTAAGTCGCAACTCGGTGTACAGACTTTCACGGTCGTTGTTCCCTATGTTCTTACAAAAAAAACATCGCTCTACCTTGTCCTTTGTTATATCTTGACGTTTAAGGTCAGCATCAAGTTTCAGAATATAACTCTGAATAGGAGTATTCTCAACTGGTTCAGTTAAGATTGAACTCAATCCTGGACTTCGCATGTCCTTGCTCAATAAGGACGTAACCAACCAACACACAGCTGGCCAATCACGACAAGTGTCTAGATCATGCTGGTGTCGCTGCAGGATCAAGTATCTTGTTCCTGTAGGGTCAAACGACTGCCTTAAAGCGGAAATCCATTGCTGGGGTGCGATATCATTCGTCTCCAGCATGACCGTAAACGCATTAAGAGTACGGGTTAGCGTGTCGAGGTCATGGTTGTTTATAAACTCGACCTGATTGCTGTTGGTATCTCAGTTCGACTTAAGTCGACTGATCTGTCCCTTGTATTTCTAGTTATTCCTGTGGTCTTGCCCATGTTGGGCCTGAAGTAGCTGATCGATACGCTTTTGCTTAATCGCAATTATATGTGCAAAATATGATACATCGTCAACATGATGCGCATCGTGGGTGATTTCCATTTTAATGGTATAATCATCGACCGATTTATTAAGTTCGGGCACCTCGTCAGAGTAGAAATCCTCTGCAGGCTGGTGTAATGCTGTGCGATCGAAGCGATCAAATTCGACATCGTTAACACGTTTACGGGGGTGTTTATTACCCCTTGTAAAGTCCATGGTCGAGGCCTTTCGGTGATCTGTACCTCGGATAGTAGTTGGTATTATAATCTTAGGTGATTCATGCGTCTGGATAACATACCCAGTTTTACGATTGTCATCCCAGTTGGGTAAAGGTGGTGGAGTATTTCTACCTACCTCTGGGTCTATAATACGCTCAAGGACGGGTGACTCACGGCCGGGTGTCAGAACAGGCAAGTAATTAGCCTGAAGTTCTGGTGGTAGTACCTCGTAAGGTATAGATACGCTGAGCACATCTGGATCATATGCCACAGGTTTAGCGCTCGAATCTTTACGCGTTTCGGGCGTAATTGCATGTCGACGTTTTGTCCACTTCTGTAGGGCTTCAGTAATTCCCGGAGAAACATGCTCGCGTAAGTGTGTGTATGTTTTCCTTATCTATACATTCGATCTACATGTTCAACAGTCATTTCATTCATAAGGGCAATTAACTGATTCTTAAGATCAGTGTTTTCAGTAATTAACTTACTTATGCGCGATGGTTCAGTGGTTTTGGTTTGAAACTTGAGCCTGCCCCCTCTTCTTATTCCAGTATAGGTACCTTCTGAGATTCGTCTTTGTCCCCTATAATTGGGGACTTTTCTGTTTGAGTTTCGTCAGAAGAATTGGTTGGGGCGTCTTGAGACGTGTCCCTTGTTTCACATCTTGGCTTTATAAATGCAAGCTTTAAAGTTGAAGCAATAGTTGGCCCTCGGGCTCTGTTTGTAGGAGTAGTCTCCTTAATCGGAGTGGCTATATCCTTATCCGAAGCATTTTCCTGTTGACTCTTATTGTTGGAGAAAAGTGCTTCGGCTACGGTGCGTTTAAACGTGTCGGCAGCGGCGGCGGTTGCTTTTGCGGCAGCAGTAACTGCTGCAGCGCTAGCGGCTTCTCTCTCCACCTTCTTACGTTCAGCTTTGCGTTTCTTTGCAGGTGTACTGTCTTTCTTTGTCATAATCTTAACTTATGACTTCAGTCTTTTTCACTTAAGGAATGACTATGCTTAGTTAAAATTTCGTGGTAGTTATCTACCTTTACGTTCAAGTAGTCTAAGTAATTAATACCTTTGCTAACTTTAAAATGTGTAAGATTCGGTCTATCAAGGCGATATTAACGCCTTAGGGTAATTAAACGCCTAGGTTAAGTCTAAGTATCGTGAAATTTGAAGTAAGTAAACGAAATGAGTCGTTTGGTAAAGTTAGGTATGCCTCGTGAAAACAGCAATACTCTGAGGGATTGTGAGGCTGAGACATTGCCTATATATAATTCTCTCAGTACTGTTTTCGCCGATGGGATTTTATTTAGTGTTTCGTTGTCGCTCGACCCTACCTGTGGCTATTGACGACGTAGTAGATACTAGCTGGTTAGGTTAGTAAAATTAACAGTCCAGTTCATCGGTATATATGTTGAGTATTACATCAATCTTAAGTCCTCGATTTTTGTATTTGTTTGATTTGATCTTTTCTTCTCTGTACGCAGTAGAAGATTCATTTCAGCAGCGCATGGGGGTTCTCGTAGCAGCCTCCTGTCTTTGTATGTAAGTGGATTGAACTGTGTCCGCACTTGCGTACACAATAAATCACGCCTTAGTTTTGTGTAATATTGTACTAACTCAATTAAGGGGTGATTGTCATTGACTTTGACGCCTTTAGACCTCTTTATCCAGCTGTTTGTGCCGTCTGTAGAACCTACGGAACATATCTCTACTAACCATTCGATCACTGCACGCACGTGTACACAATCAACATGATTGTGACACGGACTGAATGTTTTGAGTGCTGATGGCGTCAATCCTATTGGAAACAGCAAAATGATTCTTCCACTGAAATTTCTTATCTTCATCCAAGCAGTCCTTGAATGCATATGTGATTGATCATATATCACACACTTCTGTCCACTAAATTGTAGTCTCACTTCCTCTTCTACCTCCAACCTTGCAGCTAAAAGTGCCTTTGGAGACTCGGGTATGAGTTCCTTCTTAATGACTGATTTACGAGCAATCATATTGCATGTCAGATATTCGACTAGCTTTACTTTAGTCTCATAGGCCTTCGGGATGACAATGGACCTTTCTCTTGCATATTGTTTTAATTTGACAGCAATCCATGACTGAAAGTCGATCATATCAGCCTCAAAGTTGCACGACTCGTATAGTAATTGTGGTAAGCCGATCTTCTCACTCCAGACACATAGCCACTATGAGCCATTAACCCAGCAGAGTCTGTCGTGTTCATTCATCTGATAGATTGATGAAGATGTTTTGATTCTTATTTGTGATTCACTTAAATCCAATAGCCGCCTCTTCTGCTCGTGCACGTTGTCAAGGAAGGGTATGAAGCGATTCAATATCGTACTAAAGACGGGCTGACCCTTTGTCTGGAGTATACCCAACATCTCCTGCTCTATCTTTTGTTCGTTACCGTTACGGGCGAGTACTAAACCTTCGCGTATACTAGCGTTGGCCCCTTTGCTTTCCAATAGGTTACAAAGACCTCTAGGCTGCATGCCTGTATTATTGCAGTAGTCAGTTGTCATTAGAAGTGTTGCTAAAAGTATAACTCTGTCAAAACCAAGAGTGCGAACAGCTTCGAGAAAACCCCGTTGATTATGTGTGATTGTGCGACCGACATCATTAAGTATTGCTGATACCGCTTCTTAAGTGCAATATGATCTGTATAAAACCTTCGCACTACCTGTGCGCCAGCGTGAATCAACAACAAAATTATCGCATCCTAATACGACATAATCTGTATCGTAAGCAACAATATAATCCGCACCATCTTCAGCCTGTAGAGACGCAATTTGTTGCTCCGCTTCCTGCGGGGCAACAATATACTTCACACCCAAATCAATGCATAAAAACATCCGCATTTGCGCACATTCGATGTTATAAGCTCCAACAGCTTCCCTACATATTTTGACTTCGTCGAAGTCCTTTTTAGAAATAGTTCCTGCCATAAACGCATGCACTTTCTGTAGATGTTCCTTTCGATCTTGACTTCTTGCTACATTCACCAATTTTCCGTTGACTCTATATCCGTCGAATACGAGGACAACTTTAGTGCGACCGTTATCTGAAGATTGCAGCTTGTGGATTGACGATGCACATTGTTGTAGGAAACTAACATAACTGCGCTCTAATACAATCTCCGATGCATGCGTCTGCGCATGCGAATGTATCAAAAACTTGCGTCTACTACCACTGTTCCTATAAATCGCGAGATTGGTACTACGACTAGGAGGGGTTCTATCAAAGGTTTAAGGCCAACTACACCCATACTATCACCTGTAAGGGATCGCTATAAAGCTATGTAAATACACGTGTATGCGTGAAATAGGCTTAAGAACACGATATTGTAGAAATACGGCCTCCGGTCAGTCTAAAATATCAAGATCAATTGAGATAATACATTGGTTTTTATTTGTATTTTAAATAATTTAATACAAGCTCTTTTTCCAATATTTCCAAAGTGTTCTAAATGCACTTTGATGGCTCCAATAGCCTGAGTATTTGGTATGACTCATCTACTTGGACCTATTTGAGACATTAGTAGATGTAGGATATTATAAACTAAATTTTATAATCTCCGAACTATA